CTGGTGGGCACATAGACCGGTGCACACTCTGTAGCACAATCTGGCAAAGCTGAAGTGCATTTGTCAGCATAAGTGTGCACATTTCTCAAACCCATTCCTGAGACCCTACCACAAAGAGAGCCTCACATACATCTGTCAGGGAACACACAAGAGGGTGTACATTTCAATGTTGTTCACTGGAGACTATCTGGATGCTCAATGCCTGGAACGAGGGAAGGGGAGGTGAACAGGTCAAATATGGTGGTTGTAGCAGTTAGAAGACCACCGACCTGAAAGACACATGGCAACATGTGTAATACTAAAACACAGTGAAAGAAGAAAGATACAGAATGAGGTATAGAACACAATACCACTGAAAGTGAATTTTAAATATATGGACCCAGTAAAGACATACAAATAATACAAAGAAAAGAATCCACATTAAATACATTGGAATCATTTCCTATGTGGGAAGAGGCAAACAGGAGTAAGGAACTTGCATAAAATTTGTAATAAAGTAAAAAGAAACTAAATTAAACAGCAGTTTTGTAAGTACTGACATGGCATAAACTGAGTGTGGTCAATTTAAACCTCCACACCTGAGCTCCAATAACTAAAGGAAGGAAGGAAGGAAGGAAGGAAGGAAGGAAGGAAGGAAGGAAGGAAGGAAGGCAGGCAGGCAGGCAGGCAGGCAGGCAGGCAGGCAGGCAGGCAGGCAAGAAGAAACTATTCTCTCTCCCATTATGGCCACTGTAATACCACCACTACCACCACTGCCCCAGAGAGTTCCATTTTCAACCCTTGACCTTCATCTTATATCTAAGTTTGAGTTCTTTATACAATAACAATTAAGAAGCTCTTTTACTTCAGGATGCAAATACTGTCCATATAATCTTCTACCCTCATCTCAGTAAGTCCTCTCCCACCTTCCACACCTTATGCTGCAATTTCTGACGCCCCCCTTGCTCATTACGTGATATGAACAAACACACTTGAGAGAAGAGGGGAAGGGTCTCCTTACCTAGAGGGCGACAGCACTGTGCAGGGAAAGAACAGCATGTGCAAATGTGTGGTGACACACAGGGAGCATGTGGAGACCTGCATTCAGACCACGGAGAACCCTGGTCTGACTGAAATTTAGGGTGAGAAAGGGGAGCTCTAGGAAATGACTCTGCAGAGGAAAAGAGAGTCGGATCAGTTTACAAATGATTGTAGGTGAGGCTAAGGAGTTTGAATTTAAACCCGAGGCAAATGCGGAGTCACTGAAGAATGTTAAGCAAGGAAGGGAGTGACTTGATTGGATCTGTATTGAGAACAATCACTCTGACAGCAACATGGAGGAAAGGGAGGGCAGGAAAGAGGGAGCCAGTTAGAAGGATGCAGCCGTCCTCCTTGCTAGAGCATTCATGAATTTAACAAAAGCCCTTGGTAGCATGACTCTCTTAGAGGATGACACATCCATTGTAAAGTCAGAGGACTAGGTAACATGGTTTCCACATGTCTCTCCCTGCTCTATGATTTTTCAAATCCTGCTTACTTTATATTCAATCCAAGAAAGCAGTGATGAAGCAGAGAAATCTGCAAATTTGTAATCAATATGCAGAACTCACATTTCACAGACAGGAGGCATTAAAGGCTATACACGATGCTGAATGCGTAGATAACTCTCTGTGATCAAGCACACTTTACAACTGATGATAAATTTTTTGGATTCAGGTGAGGTCTGCTATTTTTTTAGGTTTTACTGTTTCTAAGTGTGTGGGAATACTCTGTTGAGTTTCATGATGAATATTCTAAACCAGGGCCGAAATATTTTAACTTCACTAGAGTCATTGCTGTATCTCCCATTCTAAATAAGATTGGACTTGATAGGAAAATCTAGGGCATTGCCTTGACAATTACCAGGCTTAGTCTTAGTTCCACTTAGGCTTTATATAACTCCAATCAGACAAAAAGCAGAGGGCTGCACGTGGCAGAAATGGGTCATCACCTCTGCCTCTTTTTATCAGAGCGTTCGGACTCCAACAGTAACTAAACACAACATTAAGCCACTTGTACACAACCCTGGCTGCAAGTTAGAATCACTTGAGCATCTGTCACAAATTCCTTGTGCCAAGGCCCAATCCCTAGTTTCTGATTTAATTGATCTGGAGTGAGAAGGCTTTAGAAGCTTTCCAAATGATTTTAACATGCAACCAGGGTTAAAAACCACTGCACTGGAAAATTAACACAGCGATTCCCGAGATGCTGCCCAGGGATGGCTGGAAGTTGGGAAGGTCTTCCAAGTGGCTGGTAGTTTGGATTCTTGTGTGTTTGGGTTACTGTATGGCTTGCCAAAAAAAAAAAAAAAAAGAATTTTCACATTAAAAATAAGTCAATTCTATCATTGATGTCCCACCTGAAGGGCACCAGTGTTTTCATAAATCTGTTTGGTAGTTTCACAGAATTGTTTTAATGGAGCAAGGGGAAGTAGGAGGAAAGGGAAGAGAGGGAGGAAATGCAGAGATTCCACTATGAGAGTTCTCACACAAGAGTTTGAGAACCACTGGGTCCAGGGAGCAGGGTCCACTGCAAGGAAACAGCACATGTGCAGGACACCATCTGCTTCCCATTATGCCCTGGGGTGGGGGGCGCTTCTGAGCTCTGTCATATTATAGTCTTCTACATTGTAGCATGAAATTGCCAGATTTTTTTTTTTAAGGATTGTGGATCACAATGCTGCCAAGTGACCTATCGATGCTCTCCCTCTCTCTCTCTCCTTTTTTAAGAAAAAGCCTCAAATCAATAGAGGGCTTTTATTGCATCTTTAAAGTATCACAAATAAATCTGAGGAACCATCCAGCATCCTATAGTTTCCACAGCTGGACAACCCTCAGAGCTTATTCAGCAGCCTGCTCAACTCTTCCTTTTTCAGTGATAAATACCATGCAAAAAGTTTCTGATATCCTTGCTTTTAACCGTTGTGGCTGAATCAAAGCAGCTAAATTTGATATGAATTCAATGTCATTTCCTTCAAGACTTAAGTCATCTTTCTGGGCTTGAAATAATGAACAAGCAACGCATGGCCTCATCTGAATCCTGCGAATATATTTTTCAACCAACAAATTCCAGATTTCCACAAGAGACCTGTTTTACTGAATAACACCGTTGATGGGGAAGTGAGAAAACACACATCCTGTGACGGAAGCCCAGTACCTCGCTCTCGAGCATGCTCTGTATATGAACTACAGAGAGTCTGCACTGTGGCCAGTTTCTTTCTGCTTCCCCACTGCTACAGACTGAGTGTTTGTGTTCCTCCCAAATTCATATATTGAAACCTAATCCCCAGTATAGTGGCAACTGAAGGTGGGGCCTTTGAGAGGTGGAGTCCTCATGAAAGGGAGTAGTGACTATATACCTATGGACCAGGAAGCAGGTCCGCATGGGCAATAAAATCTGCAGCACTTTGATCTTGAACTTTCCAGCCTCCAGGACTATGAGAAGTGTCTGTTGTTTATAAGCCACCCAACTTATGCAATTCTGTTACAGCAGCTTGAACTGATGCTCATCATTCATCAACCCAGAGCTTCTTCTTTTTCTTTCCAAGGAGACTGAGCTCTATAGTGACGTGATTTAAGTCCCTCCCCAGGGTTCTTCTGGGACCCTTCATAATAACTGTGCATCCCTTCAGAGTGATGTCCACATTTCCTAGGATAGTAACACTCTGATTTCTTAAGATGGTCCTCATTCTCACAGTAGATGTGGCAAAGAGCTCAAGGTCTCTTGATAATGATAGAGGGAGGGGTCTTATTTATGGTATTCTTTCTTTTCTATCATTATAAGAATTATTATATAAAAATATAGTTATGTATTCATTTTCTAGCATTGCCATAACAATGTGCCATAAACTAGGTGGCTTAGAATAAACAAAATTTATTGTCCACAGTTCTGGAGGTCAGCAGTCTAAAATTAAGGTGCCACTGGGGCCACATTCCCCCAGAAAACTGTAGGGGAATCCTTTCTTGCTTCTCCCTAGCATCTAGGGGTTTTGCCACCAATCTTTGTTGTTCCTTGGCTTGCAGCCAGTTAACTCCAATCTCTGCCTTCATCGTCACTCACTATGTTCTACGTGCCACTGTCTTCACAAGAGCATCTTCTTATAAGGACATCAGTCATACTGGAGTAGGGCCCACCTTACTCCAATATGATTTTATCTCGAGTAATTATATCTGCAGCAACCCTATTTCCAAACAAGTTCACATTCTGAGGTACTAGGGGCTAGGACATAACATGTCTTTTGGGGGGACACAATTCAACCCACAACAATATCCAACTAGGTTATTTAGGGATTTTTAATGTAAAAATTGAATTTTTAAAGAAATCAATTCATTAAGCTCTGCGTGCCAATATAACTTTTGATGAAGCTGTTTCATTTCTGGTGCTCTTCACAAAAGAGCCAAAGATGAAGTGAGTCTCTGCAATAAAAAGAGAGACCCTTGACTAAAAGAATATGCCCTAGGGACTATTCCTCTATGATCATCTTCTTTTCAATTAAAGCAAAAGAGAAAATAGGAGGAAACTTCTCTCCTGTTTACTTTATATGAAATTTTAGTTGAGAATTTACCTTAAAACCTTGAGTTGTGTTGGCGAGGAGAATGTTTTTAAGGAATATGCAAAGTTCCCATCTTTATTAGTGTTAAACATGAGAATCTAAAAAGACTGAGGAAAAAAGGCACTCTAATTTCTGAAAGCTATTTTTTTTGTTTGTTTGCAATACTTATGACAACTTGAAACAGAAAGACCTTGATGATATAAAATGTTATTCCTCAGAGTTTTTATTGGTAAAACAGCCCTTGTTTTTTCTGTGCTACTGAATGAAACTTTATCCTTCAATCTATTGAACTAAAAAAAAGTATCCCTATCAAGGATCTAAAGTAATGAAACCAAAGAGGAAGAAGTTTAGATTTTGTTTCTTCATTCATATGAGCATATAGTAATTACAGTAAAAAATACTTACAATAAAAAATATAGATATGGGGGTGGGGGGTGTAGCTCAGTGGTAGAGCACATGCTTGGTGTGCATGAGGTCCTGGGTTCAATCCCAGTGCCTCCGTTAAGGGAAGGAAAAAAATACATATGGATATAAATAGGCAGGGAAGTAATCAGCAAAACTCTAAATAGTATTTCACTTTCCCACTACTGCTGTGACAGAGTAAAGCACTACCCACACAATCCAAGAAGACAGAGAATCTGAATCCTCACCTCAAAGATCTACACTAAGGCTCTTCCTGGGCATGGGGCTAGACTGTCCTCGTCCACACTTGCCCAGCCTTTGGTGAGTGCAGTCACGTCCATGCCTTGCACTGACAAGTTGTGACAGAAATCCAACTCAAACTGCTGTAAGAAAAGACAAAAAAGGCTTGTAACTAATGACTGGACACAGTGGCTCAACAATGTCCCCAGGATTCAGCTCTCACATGCTCTTTTTCCTCTGCTTTCTTTTGTGTTGGCTTGACTCTCCACATGGAAGCCCCTGGCAGGCTGACTCAGCTTCAAGTCCAACAGAAAGGAAACACATTTCTGTCATTCCCAGTAGGATCTCCTGAAACTGGAAGACTTGTCCATCTTGAGCTGTGACCAATGGAATGAAAGCCCTTATTGGACAGCCTGAGGTCAGCAGCTACTCCAAAGTGAGGAGGTTGGATCAGCATTATGTGAACTCCAGAGACTGAAGAGGGCAAAGCCCATGCCCTACATACCATCAAGAGCTGTTGCTCAGGGTTTGGAGACTGGGTGGGAAAATACAACCAATTCCTATTTCAAATGAGGATAAAGAATCCAGAATATGAAGAGGTCTACTTGGGGAAATGAACTGAATCTTAAGTCTCCTCTATCTGAAGCTGTGATAAACACATGATTCAATTTTACGTTTTCTGTGGTCCATCAGAAGTAGTGTATCAAATGATAACTACTCTAAAGCTACAACGTGGACGGACATCAAAAATATTACATTGATACCTGCCGAGTCAAAAATCTGTATATAACTTTAAAGTCAGTCCTCTGTATCCACTGTTCCACATAAGGGGATTCAACCAACCTGGGGTTGTGTAGTACTGTAGTAGGTACTTACTTTAAAAAAAAAAAAAAAGAAAAAACGTACATAAGTGGACCTGCACAGCTGGTATTCAAGGGCCAACTGTACTAAACAAAAGATGTCAGACACAAAAGGTCACATATTAAGTGATTCCATTTATATGAATATCCTGAAAAATACATCCATAGAGACAGGAAGCAGATCGGTGGTTGTCAGGCATTAGGTTGAGAGGGGACGGCGCTGTGACCACTTAAGGGCACAGGGTTTTCTTTTGCGGTGATGAAGTATTTTGGAACTTGTTATAGGGAGTGGTTGCATGACACCATGACTGTACTAAATGCCAATGAACTGTATACTTTAAAATGGTTAATTTTATGTTAGGTGAATTTCTCTTCAATTACAAAAGAAGGACTCTAGACACTGTGCAGGACTTAATCTGAGTAGAAATCCTGATTTTTTTCCTTTCTTTCTATCTCTCTCACCTCTTGCTTAAATGCTGTTGGAGGTTCACAAACCTCTTTACTTTTTTGGAAATAAAACATTTGATCTACACTCTGGATAAAGTAGCCTTCATGTACTCACTTCTCATCTAAAGCCAGCCATCTAGAAGCTTCCTGACCATAAAATTTTAGGTTATTTTATAGGACTTGGCCTCTGATCACTCACTCACTCCCCCTTCACCCTCCCTGTCTTCAGCAAATAGGCAGCTGGTGTGCTTTGGCTTAGGGTATATTTTATTCCCTCATTTTCTGCCTTCTGCTGAGGTGGTACTGTTTTCAGCCCATAAGGATTTAGCTAACACTGCATTGGTAAATTTCAGTTTCACATTTTGTAAATTCCAGGAGGGTCTCAACTTATAGAGGCCTCACAACAACCCACCCAGAAGTGTTCCCAAAAGAGAGTCTAGTCATTTGAAAAATGGCTCTGGTGGGTTTTGCTAAAGCCTTTATTTCTGCGAAGTGTCATGTCAAATTTTTAGACCGATGTTCCTAAACTCTTCACACTTACCAGAAAATTGGTTGAAAACCACAAGGAATTATGCAGTTTTAGGAATATTGTGTGAATTTTTATCTGAATCCTGGCTGTGAAACGTCAACAGTTCAAACAAAGACAGAAGTAATTGTTTAAGACGTATTTCAGGGAGAAATATAAATTGCTGTAGTGGGTATGAAGCTCAGTGAATAAATTCAGGGGTGCCAGAAGTAAAACTTTTTTCTTCTATAGTAACACTTAATTTCTATTTAGAAGGCCTGATCCCCCCTCCCAAGACAGCAGGAAGTTCTCTTGTCAGTCAGAGATCCTGACCCTTACCCTGGGGTTGTAAGTCTAAGTTCCAAGAGGTCAATGTCATGCTAAGTTTTGGGAACGGAAGCATCTGGCCCTTGGCGCAGTCCATGCATGCAGGGACATCCCTGGACCTTGTCTCCTACTTTCACACCACACATGAAGACCTTGTAATCATTCTGTGATTCTCTGCCCTATTAGGACCTGGAAACCTACAGGAACCTACGGAGCTGCCCATACCGTGTAGGCCTGGACTCTGTGCAGACATTCTTCCTGTGCCCTTTCAAACTCCTTAGGACTCTTATAGTCACAAGGCCCTTTTTATCTCAAATTGCTTCCTTTCTTTCAAGGCTTTTACCATCTCCCTGGGACTCTGCTCAGGAAGCAGGTACAGAGACACTCCTTCTGCAATTCATCAAACTCTTCTCACATCCACTTCTCTCTGTCTCTCCCTACATATATCCCTAGCCAGGGGGAATCTTCTAGTGGGGAGCCCAGAACTTCATGGAGGCTTGAATAGGGGTGATGGCAAGGAGAGGAGAAATCAATGTATGTTTCCAAAATATATCATTTGCTTTTTTGCTTTGAGGATTGAAGACAAAAATAGCACAATTTTGCATGCACCCTCTCCATCCCTAAATAGTGGATCAAATCCTGGACAAAAGAATGAACCTAATTTCAAGACATTTACCCTGATTCGTTCTTCCTACCCAAGCTGGAGCACTGACCTCCTAGCCATCTCCCATGTTAGCTTCCCTGTTTGCAGGCCCTCCCCTGTTGAGGAGATGCATGACCATCCAGGACACCTGCAGACACAGGCACCCAAGCCTCAACACAGTTCTGAGAGGAAGCACCTCCCACCCCAGGAAACACTCAAAATATTGGCTGATGATTCTTAAATATCTGTGAGACAATTTTGACACACATCTTAATCTAAAAAGAAGACTGTAGTCCAATGAGCATTTATGCCACACAGATGCCAAGGTACACAATTCTGTGTAATATTAAGTGTATTTGTATACTGTAGAAAGGGGGCACAGAGTTTGCTCCCCAGCTGGATATTAAACTCCTACAGGGCTTGGACCTTGTTTTATATTCCATTTTTTATCCCACTATTTCATTCTGTGCACACAATATGATGTTCTGTTTATAGAAGATGCCTCAAGAAATTCTTATAAAGAGGACAGATGAATGAAAACCATACACTAGGAAAGCTAAAAGGAGCTTGAAAATTCATCTAGCCTTTTCCAAAGCCTTCAGGCAGGTCATAGTCAAGCCAAATCAAATAAATGAGAACTTACTCAGTCTTTTTAGAGCCCCAGCAAAAAAAAAATTCTAAATCCATTTTCAAAAACTAGTATTAATATGGCATTCAGCAAGTCTATCTGAAACTTCCTTACCACATCTAAAGTGAATGTGACAGAGAGAAAACACTGGACTGGAGACAGCGGTTGGAGTGGGGCCTGGCTCTGGGGCTCACAGAGCCTTGCCCTTAACAGCATCATTTACGTTCTAGGAGTCATCTGTAAAATCTTGGGTATTGATAAAGGATCCATAAGCTCACTAATAACTGTAAAATTCTACTAATCTTTATCATGGATGTCTCAGGAGGTGAATAGTGAGGTTCTTCTAATAAGGCAACTGAACTGTGTGGTATTGCTTCCCTTGCTTTGCTGCTTCAAAGAGCTAGAATACATATGTTTTCTCTTTATTTTCCTAGGAGGAATTGAAGATGAACAACCCTCCTGCCATCCCAGGATAGGAGAATTCGATTTTGGGCTGCTAATGATTCCAGAGTCTAGTTTTTAGGGGACTGAAAGTCTACTTTTAAGAAAAAGGGGAAAGATGTTTATAATGAGGGAGTACCTCTGACAAAAACTCAAAGAAAGAGGGAGGATTTCCTCCAGACCAAAAAGAAATCAGGTACCTCAGAAATTAACACAACACCGTAAATCAAGTATACTTCGATAGAAAAAAGAAAGAAATATTCTAAGAAAGAAAGAAAGAAAGAAAGAAATCAGGGATACTGGGCAGTGGGCATGGAGGGAGGGGCTGGTGAAGGAGCCTGGGAACCTCTCCTGAGGAAGTTGCTCAAGAATTCAAAGACAACTGTGAGTTCACAGAAGCTCATGGGAGCCACGCCATTGCCACAACCACTCAGCCTTCAGTGAGGCACAAATCTCCTGTCCCTGCCCTGCCCCATTGGTCCTTCTGGTGGCTGATCAAGAGGAGTACGCTTCGTGGGCACCCAGCACCTCACAACTGCTGAGTGCCTGTGGGTGCTATAGTCTCTGTTCAGCCTGGCCCTGGTTCCGAGGAGACATTCCTTATGCGCCAGGACAGCCAGACACAGCAGAGCCAGGACATCTAGTGGGAGGGAGGTAAAGAAACTTAGACCTCCTGAGCCCAGGCACTGAGGGGTTCATGGAACCCCAACAGCGGCACATCCAGGTTCTGTGGAGCCCAAAATACACACAATCGAGGGATCCTCTTTAAGAAAATGAACACACAACATGAAAAAAATTAGGTAAGAATGTGAGTATTTATACTGAGATGAGAAATCACAACAAATTACAAATTTTTAAGAGCTCACAAAGACCAAAAAACACCACAAAATCCAGGAAAATAAAATATGTTTTATTCACTAATTACCTGGCACACTTCTATTATAATTGTTTTCTATATTTATTGGTTGTATAATATTCGAGTGCCTCTTCTTAGGAATGATGATATAA